CAGTTGCATCACTATTGTTTTCCACCAGATGTATGTCACTGGCAATGTCTCTCTTCTTGGTTGTTAAATAGAAACGTAAGAGAGGTAATTTTGTCTTTTCATACAGTTCCTTGACTGTGATACTATCCTCTAATGAATGCCGCTGAAAGCAGTAGCGTGGCGTGGGGAAAAATGTAGGGGAAGCCCATTTTTTGGGTCGGGGGGTGGTCAATAACGTAACCAGATGAGTGATTACAGCGCCCGGTATCATTTTACACACATTTGTATCACACAGATGCAGGACTTGCACACGCCTGTTATCTAACCGACAGGTCCGCACGCACTCTCCAGCTGAAACTCTCTCCTTATTAATTTAAGCATTTTACTTATTAATATATGCAGACAATCACACAATCTATGTGATTTTTGGATTTACCGTGCCTCTCAATTGCCCGTGACAGGTTGGCAAAGTCGATGAATCCTGAAGTTGCCCAAGGATTGTTCAGGGAGCACGAATCCTTGTCAAAAAGAAGACATGGCCAGCAAAATAGACGCTGAAGTTTAGCGCTTCCAGTTAGCCACTCCGTGCGGACATAATTGTCCTCATTGAACGTCCGATTCTCTCCCTTTTTCCTCTGCGTACACACAGCTCGAGTGCGGGCATTTGCCTGTCATCTGATTTAATTTGTAGTTGCTGCTGTAGCGGAAGTTTAGTAAAGTTATGTTTGATTAAGTACGCCAAATCTCCACCCTCCATAATGCTTCATTTGCTTGATAATTTCTAACGGCGGTGATGACAGTTACAGTATTAAAACTGATGTTGATGTGATTTGATTGGATGGCAGTGTCCAATCAAATCGCCAGCCGCCAGCCGCCTCTGAAGGGAAGCAAGAGGCGGCTAGCTTCCCTTGGCATGGCCCTGACCAATCACAGGTTGGCAGGGGCATCACGTGGGGCCTCATCTGATTGGTCAATCCCTCCATTTTTTTTCACCAAGGGAAGCTAGATTCGGCTGGCCTCCTCTCGCAACAGTGAGTGCAATCTACTGTTTCACCATAACATCTAGAGGAGCGCTGTTTGTTTCACTCTTTGTAAAATACTCAATGAGAATGGGGGAGAGCCGGGCCGGCAGCAACACACAGCAAAGGAGAATTATCGAAACAAAACAAAGTGTTTGTATTTATTTATTTAAATTATAACTACAATCCGAAAAAACAGGGGAAGCCTGGCTTCCCTTGGCCTCCGGGAGAAAACGCCACTGGCTGAAAGTCCGTTAAATCAATGTCAAAATCAGTAAGGCTCCCATCTGGAAAAAACAACTGCACAGCCTTTTCAATTAGGTTGTGTTTTGTACTGTCCTTCATGACACTCTCTTCTGGTCCCCCCACCCTTTTTGGTGCGTACCTGCACAAATTCCCCTTCTCTGAAATGCACCCATCCAATTTCAATCTTTCTTTGATTCTTCTGAGCATTCTTCTGAGCATTCTTCTGAGCATTCTTCTGAGCAATCTTTGGAGCGGTTTGATGGTCTGTCTCGTCACATGATCACCTTTGTTTCTTGAGAGCTTTCCTCTAAGTCGCTCAAAGAGCTTTGACTTGCGACTCGTGGGTTCTTTTTCCTTCCGTCTACAGTTTCAACAAACAGCCAGTCGATCACCATAGGATGGCAGATACTCTCTCAGCTGGTCGTCTGTCATGAGAGTAAGGACACTGGAATCCATCTAAAATGAAGAAAGATATCAAGAATTCTTAGGTCAAGTGAATTAAATTACAACAATGAAAAACCTGCATACACAGCACTAGGTATTATTTTCAAAGCTCTTCCAAACTTTGGGTTTTTCACGCCCCGAGGAGGTGAGCCGGCCGTTGAAGCCAAACTGCCTTTTTTTTCGAGAAAAAAAAAAGTTCGAGTTAGAAATGGCGAAGGCGAAGGCCAAGCGAAAAGGGGGAGCAGAAAAATTGCGGGCAATAAAAAAGCAGGCCCTTCGTGCTGATGCTGCCGCTTGTGTCAAAATAACCGACATGTTTAGTACAGGTGCAGGTCCATCTTCTTCTAACCCGTGGCCGATATTGGTGGTGAGGAAGATGATGAGAGGGAGAGAGATCAGCGCGAGTGGGGAGAGCGAGGAGAACTCGCGGTAAGCAGAAGCTAAGAAAATTAGGAAAATATTATTATTAAGGTTATGATACTCTGTAGTTCTGGAACCCATTAATATCCTTTTGATGAAGAACTAATAAGACAAATATTATAAGAGAAACATTCGTTAGCCTACAAGCTAGTAAGCTGGCTTTTTTAGGTTTTCCCTGGCAAGTTCAAATATAGCTTAATGGGACTGATACGTTGTCTCATTGAAAGTTAACCAACATTCATGAACAATTACTGTCAGCTGGCAGCTTGTTTAGTTTAGTTTATTTACTTATTTGGTTATAAGGGCAACAGTGGACTTTTGGGACCTGAAAAATGTTTATAGTCAGCTTTTAGTGGTAGACAATATATACAGTAGAATGAATAATATAGAAATAGATAAAAATGGAGGCACACATGTAGTTTTGACCATTAACTGTGTGGTATTGTGATGTCAATGCCTATTTGTATGGACCTCTATCAGGGAATCCATTCATTCTGTATCATTGTGTTGGTACCCTCCCCAGAGGAGGAGTGTCAGCGAGAGTGAGGAGAGCAAAGAGCAGGAGGACATAGATTACTTTGCCCGCCCCGAGCCATCTATGTTACAAATGTTTTTAGAACAACAACATACCAGAAATCCAGTTGTGCAGAAGGTCTTCACCTGTAAAGATGGCACCAGCAGAAAGTGACTTACATATTGCAAGGGACGTCATATGTTGTTTTGTTTTGTATGTCTGGCATTTGGGAAGAGGACTGACACTGGCACATTTATAACTGGAATGTCAGATTGGAGGCACGCACACCAGCGTACAGAGGAGCACGAAAAGAGCATTACACATTCAACCTGTGCTGAAGCCTTTTTCTTACGGTGCTCTAAAGCAGACATCGAAAGCATGTTTGCTGGCAGTCAGATGTCTGCTCATAGGGAACAAGTCCGTAAGAGACGTCAGGTTTTGGAGCGTGTGGTGGATGTGGTGAAAGTGCAGGCAGGTGGAGAATGAGGGAGCATATATGCTAGCTGACAACACCGTGGACCACGGTAACTTTTTGGAGCTCATCCTTTTATTAGGAAAGTATGATGTCTGCTTAAAAGAGCATCTGGATGATTGCGTAGAGAAGAGCAAGAAATTGCACCAATCCAGTGGAACAAAAGGTAGAGGGTCTCTCATCCCCCTACTCTCCAAAACTACTGTTAACTCCATAATAGAAACTGTTGGTAGTCTAATCAAAGAAAGTATCTCCAGTGATGTCCAGAAGGCCGGAATGTTTTCTGTTCAGCTGGACACAACACAAGACATAACTTCTCAGGATCAGTGTTCAGTCATCTTAAGATATGTCAATGAGACTGTGCAAGAGAGGCTTGTGGCTTTAGTGAAGTGCCATGTATCCACCGGACAATACTTTGTGAACTTGCTCTCAGAGGTCTTAGAGCATCTGAAACTGGACAAGGGCATGTGTATAGGTAATGCAACAGATGGAGCATCCAATATGCAAGGCCGGTACAAAGGATTTTCTGCACTGATGACCTCCCAGTCACCCACTCATGTCCATGTGTGGTGCTATGCTCATGTTCTTAATCTTGTCCTGGCAGAAACCTCCCAAACTGTCATCGAATGTGGAACACTTTTCAACCTAATCAATGGCATAGCAGTGTTTATCAGGGAGTCATATCAGAGGGTCAATCTGTGGGAGAAACAAGCCCAAGACAAGATGCCGTCGACTCATCCTGTACACTCATCTGGTCCTATCTCTATTGTGTTGTCATAGAAAGGGGAGGCAGGGCACTATAGGGTCCCCCCCCTAAATTCACTAGAAGTCATCATTTAAGGGGTTATTTTTAAAACTTTTCTTCTGGGGGGGGCATACCCCCCCAGACATTACATTACAGCTTTTATCCAAAGCGACTTACAATAAGTGCGTTCCACCAGGAAGACACAACCTTGAAGAAAACAGAATCATAAAGTACATCAGGTTTCATAGAGCCAAACATTTCACGTGCTACTCAACTGGCTTTAGATAAGCCAGTCCTTTATTAGTATATAAGTGCTTTGTTAGTAATTCTATCGCTGGAAGTGGAGTCAAAAGAGATGAGTTTTCAGTCTGGAAGATGTGTAGGCTTTCTGCTGTCTTGATTTCAATAGGGAGCTCATTCCACCATTTTGGAGCCAGGATAGCAAACCCACGTGTTTCTGCTGATGGGAACTTGGGTTGGCCGACCTGCCTGTCAGCCTTCCATCTGTGCACAAACTTATCTCGTGCCCTCATTGGTCATGTGCGCGTTCGTGTGAGTTGGAGGAGTGGCTCTGTGAGGAAGTCTGAAGTTGGTGCATCATGGCATGTGGCTCATTAAAAAATAAGTACAGCTATTATCTCCCTCTTGTATAACTGGTCGGCCCCACCTGCAGCAGGTAAACCAGGGTTGCCAACTCTCACGCATCTAGCGTGTGACACACGCTTTCACTCTCAATCTCACGCTCTCACGCTGCCCAAACTATTCTCACGCCAAAAACAAGATGAATCGGTGATCGTTTTTGGTTGGTTATTTACAATGTTGAGGTGACAGCTGCTCAAGCTGTTGATCCGCTCCCTCCCCGCCTCCACCACCATCAGACCCCCCTGCTCGGTCACTGTTCGCTTTGTGAGAGGGTTTGAAGGTCTAATTTCTAATGATTGATAGTTACTAGGGCTGATAGTTAGTGGCGTTAATTTTTTTTTGCGTTAACGCAAGGGGAACTTCTTGTGTATTTTTAACTGGTGATGTGTCATTTTGTAAATGTGCCGTATAAATAATAATAATAGTTATTATTATATCATAGAAGATGCCTCAAGCGTCTCAGGTCTAAAATATCCATGCAACACATTTCTGATACTTCTTCCTCTTTCATTCTTCCAGTTACAAACCAAACACCAGCGGATAAATCCAACGGCACCATTCGGATATTGTGCTGGATTATGACGATGCCCAAATACCTGGAAACTCGAACCCAGCACGTGAGAGCGACCTGGGCGAAACACTGCGACCGAGTTCTGTACATGAGCTCCACATCCACAGATTTCCCCACCGTGGGGCTGAACGTGAGCGAGGGGAGGGAAAACCTGTACTGGAAGACCATCAGAGCGTTCCAGTTCCTCCACCAGCACCACATGCACGATATGGACTGGTTTATGAAGGCGGACGACGACACTTTCGTGGTGATGGAGAATCTGCGCCACACGTTGTCCCGGTTCGATACGGAGAAGCCGTGGTATTTGGGAAGACGCTTTACCCCGTTCATCAAAAAAGGCTACATGAGCGGAGGAGCCGGATATGTGCTCAGTAAAGAAGCTGTGAGACGCTTTATCACGGGGTTCCAGACGGGGAAATGCACACACTTTTCTGACATAGAGGACATGGCTCTGGGGAAATGTATGGAGACGATGGAGGTGGAGCTGGGAGACACCAGAGATGAGAAGGGAAGACAAACCTTTCACCCGTTTCCTCTGGACCATTACGTCCTCAGGACTCCTCCGAGAAGAAGGCCCTGGTATATGATCTACGACTTCTATACTCCAATAGAGGTGAGAACCACTAGAACCAGAGAGGGAGGAGTACACATCCTTTACTCAAGTAGAAGTACACATACTCGTGTTTAAAAATACTCTGGTAGAAGTAGAAGTACTGACTAAACTTCTTTACTCAAGTCAAAGTAAAGAGGCTTTGAAATGTACTTCAGTAAAAAGTACCCATAACTAGCAGCTGCTTTAAAGAGTACCTGACCTCCCTTTATATTAATAGAACAATAATGTCATTGTTAGCTAATGAATGTTTCCATGCTGAACAACGGCAACATGACAACGTTTCCATTGGTCCCTCTTCTTTAGAGGAGACCAGGAAATGATGGATACACGGATCGTGTTCAAATCAATAGGCACGCAATGACTCTAAAGAATAATGATCACGCATCAAACACACATTCAGACTAAAGGAACCAGCTGTTTGGAAATGAGAGAAGTAGAAAGTACAAGTATTTGAGTTCAACAATGTAGAAGTAGAAAGTACAGGTATTTGAGTTCAACATGTAAGAAGTAGAAAGTACAGATATTTGTGTTCACACATGTAAGAAGTAGAAAGTACAGGTATTTGGGTTCAACAGGTAAGAAGTAGAAAGTACAAGTATTTGAGTTCAACATGTAAGAAGTAGAAAGTTACAGGTATTTGGGTTCAACATGTAAGAAGTAGAAAGTACAGATATTTGTGTTTCAACATGTAAGAAGTAGAAAGTACAGGTATTTGGGTTCAACATGTAAGAAGTAGAAAGTACAAGTATTTTGAGTTCAACATGTGAGAAGTAGAAAGTACAGGATTTGGGGTTCAACATGTAAGAAGTAGAGAAGTAAAGATATTTGTGTTCAACATGTAAGAAGTAGAAGTACAGGTATTTGGGTTCAACATGTAAGAAGTAGAAAAGTACAGGTATTTGTGTTCAACATGTCAAGAAGTAGAAAGTACAGGTATTTGAGTTTCAACATGTAAGAAGTAGAAAGTACAGATATTTGTGTTCAACATGTAAGAAGTAGAAAGTACAGGTATTTGAGTTCAACATGTAAGAAGTAGAAAGTACAGGTATTTGAGTTCAACATGTGAGAAGTAGAAAGTACAGGTATTTTGAGTTCAACATGTAAGAAGTAGAAAGTACAGGTATTTGAGTTCCAACATGTGAGAAGTAGAAAGTACAGGTATTTGAGTTCAACATGTAAGAAGTAGAAAGTACAGGTATTTGAGTTCAACATGTAAGAAGTAGAAAGTACAGGTATTTGTGTTTCAACATGAGAGAAGTAGAAAGTACAGGTATTTGTGTTCAACATGTAAGAAGTAGAAAGTACAGGTATTTGAGTTCAACATGTAAGAAGTAGAAAGTACAGGTATTTGTGTTCAACATGTAAGAAGTAGAAAGTACAGGTATTTGTGTTCAACATGAGAGAAGTAGAAAGTACAGGTATTTGAGTTCAACATGTAAGAAGTAGAAAGTACAGGTATTTGAGTTCAACATGTAAGAAGTAGAAAGTACAGGTATTTGTGTTCAACATGTAAGAAGTAGAAAGTACAGGTATTTGAGTTCAACATGTAAGAAGTAGAAAAGTACAGGTATTTGTGTTCAACATGTAAGAAGTAGAAAGTACAGGTATTTGAGTTCAACATGTAAGAAGTAGAAAGTACAGGTATTTGAGTTCAACATGTAAGAAGTAGAAAGTACAGGTATTTGTGTTCAACATGTAAGAAGTAGAAAGTACAGGTATTTGTGTTCAACATGTAAGAAGTAGAAAGTACAGGTAGTTGTGTTCAACATGTAAGAAGTAGAAAGTACAGGTATTTGAGTTCAACATGTAAGAAGTAGAAAGTACAGGTATTTGAGTTCAACATGTAAGAAGTAGAAAGTACAGGTATTTGTGTTCAACATGTGAGAAGTAGAAAGTACAGGTATTTGTGTTCAACATGAGAGAAGTAGAAAGTACAGGTATTTGAGTTCAACATGTAAGAAGTAGAAAGTACAGGTATTTGGGTTCAACATGTAAGAAGTAGAAAGTACAGGTATTTGTGTTCAACATGAGAGAAGTAGAAAGTACAGGTATTTGAGTTCAACATGTAAAGAAGTAGAAAGTACAGGTATTTGGGTTCAACATGTAAGAAGTAGAAAGTACAGGTATTTGAGTTCAACATGAGAGAAGTAGAAAGTACAGGTATTTGAGTTCAACATGTAAGAAGTAGAAAGTACAGGTATTTGGGTTCAACATGTAAGAAGTAGAAAGTACAGGTATTTGAGTTCAACATGTAAGAAGTAGAAAGTTACAGGTATTTGAGTTTCAACATGTGAGAAGTAGAAAGTACAGGTATTTGAGTTCAACATGTAGAAGTAGAAAGTACAGAGTATTTGAGTTCAACATGAAAGAAGTAGAAAGTACAAGGTATTTGAGTTCAAACATGTAAGAAGTAGAAAGTACAGGTATTTGAGTTCAACATGTAAGAAGTAGAAAGTACAGGTATTTGAGTTCAACATGAGAGAAGTAGAAAGTACAGGTATTTGAGTTCAACATGTAAGAAGTAGAAAGTACAGGTATTTGAGTTCAACATGTAAGAGTAGAAAGTACAGGTATTTGAGTTCAACATGTAAGAAGTAGAAAGTACAGGTATTTGAGTTCAACATGAGAGAAGTAGAAAGTACAGGTATTTGAGTTCAACATGTAAGAAGTAGAAAGTACAGGTATTTGGGTTCAACATGTAAGAAGTAGAAAGTACAGGTATTTGAGTTCAACATGTAAGAAGTAGAAAGTACAGGTATTTGAGTTCAACATGTGAGAAGTAGAAAGTACAGGTATTTGAGTTCAACATGTAAGAAGTAGAAAGTACAAGTATTTGAGTTCAACATGAAAGAAGTAGAAAGTACAGGTATTTGAGTTCAACATGTAAGAAGTAGAAAGTACAGGTATTTGAGTTCAACATGTAAGAAGTAGAAAGTACAGGTATTTGAGTTCAACATGAAAGAAGTAGAAAGTACAGGTATTTGGGTTCAACATGTAAGAAGTAGAAAGTACAGGTATTTGAGTTCAACATGTAAGAAGTAGAAAGTACAAGTATTTGAGTTCAACATGAAAGAAGTAGAAAGTACAGGTATTTGTGTTCAACATGTAAGAAGTAGAAAGTACAGGTATTTGAGTTCAACATGTAAGAAGTAGAAAGTACAGATATTTGAGTTCAACATGTGAGAAGTAGAAAGTACAGGTATTTGTGTTCAACATGTAAGAAGTAGAAAGTACAGGTATTTGAGTTCAACATGTGAGAAGTAGAAAAGTACAGGTATTTGTGTTCAACATGTAAGAAGTAGAAAGTACAGGTATTTGAGTTCAACATGAAAGAAGTAGAAAGTACAGGTATTTGTGTTCAACATGTAAGAAGTAGAAAGTACAGGTATTTGAGTTCAACATGTAAGAAGTAGGAAAGTACAGGTATTTGGGTTTCAACATGTAAGAAGGTAGAAAGTACAGGTATTTTGGTTCAACATGTAGAGTAGAAAGTACAGGTATTGGAGTTCAACATGTAGAAGTAGAAAGTACAGGTATCTGGGTTCAACATGTAAGTAAGTAGAAAGTACAGGTATTTGGGTTCCAACATGTAAGAAGTAGAAAGTACAAGGTATTTGGTCATTCAACATGTAAGAAGTAGAAAAGTACAGGTATTTGTGTTCAACATGTAGAAGTAGAAAGTACAGGTATTTGAGTTCAACATGTAAGAAGTAGAATAGTACAGGTATTTGAGTTCAACATGTAAGAAGTAGAAAGTACAGGTATTTGAGTTCAACATGTGAGAAGTAGAAAGTACAGGTATTTGAGTTCAACATGTGAGAAGTAGAAAGTACAGGGATTTGAGTTCAACATGTGAGAAGTAGAAAGACAGGTATTTGAGTTCAACATGTAAGAAGTAGAAAGTACAGGTATTTGAGTTCAACATGTAAGAAGTAGAAAGTACAGGTATTTGAGTTCAACATGTGAGAAGTAGAAAGTACAGGTATTTGTGTTCAACATGTAAGAAGTAGAAAGTACAGGTATTTGGGTTCAACATGTAAGAAGTAGAAAGTACAGGTATTTTGGTTCAACATGTAAGAAGTAGAAAGTACAGGTATTTGTGTTCAACATGTGAGAAGTAGAAAGTACAGGTATTTGAGTTCAACATGTAAGAAGTAGAAAGTACAGGTATTTGAGTTCAACATGTAAGAAGTAGAAAGTACAGGTATTTGAGTTCAACATGTAAGAAGTAGAAAGTACAGGTATTTGTGTTCAACATGTAAGAAGTAGAAAGTACAGGTATTTGTGTTCAACATGTAAGAAGTAGAAAGTACAGGTATTTGAGTTCAACATGTGAGAAGTAGAAAGTACAGGTATTTGGGTTCAACATGTGAGAAGTCAAAGTAAAAAGTGGTCAGAAAAATAAGTAGTGGAGTAAAGTACTGATACCAGAAACATGTACTTAACGAAGTATTTGTCCTCCACTACTTCCCACCTCTGACTAGAGCTGTCAATCAATGACAACATCAAATAATGACCCACTTAATATTTAACCAGCTAACAACCACATTGTTTGCTGAACCAAATCATTACAGACTGTTAAATTAATCCAATAAAATAAACTGTGTGTGTGTGTGTGTGTGTGTGTGTGTGTGTGTGTGTGTGTGTGTGTGTGTGTGTGTGAATTTATTCCGGTAAATTACTCTGACCTCCAAATTGACCTTTCCGAAGTTATTGAGTCTATGTAAGTTTACTGCTTGGCTCAGATCCACCAACGTCAGCAAGATCTCACCTCTTCCTAACCCCCCCGAAGAACCAGGTTCAATTAACTGCTGTTTCAATTCAGACAACTCTCTTTTAATCTGTTTAAGCGATCCCGAAGGATTTTGATATCAGTAAATTGAGTGTGCTCCTACCTAAGTGTGTGTGGCAGGGTGCAGTCTTACCTTTGACGCAGGAGAGGAGAGCACAGGTGTCTTTTAAGTTATCCCAATCCAACAGGTGGGATTCAGTTTATTTGAAGAAAAATAGGTCCAAACTAATACAGGGTTTTTACCTTCTCTCTTCACAACATTATAATCATACTAAAAACCTGGTGCTGTGATCATGTTCAAATATGAAACTTTAATTCACAGTCTTACATTTATTACCAAAATGTTTAATTTCAACTGCCCAATTCAGTTGTGACATTTTAAAATCTCCCGATAGAATTTAGAGGTATTTCCTCATAAAAAGACCGGTGACCATAAAAAGTGCATTCAACTTTTCATTCACCAAATCAATTCACATCAGGTTCATACCTTTTTTCCGACACAGACGGCGGGTATAACATTCAAAAACCCGTTCCTATCCGCATTAAATTCGGAGGAAGATCCTCACAGGTGGCGGTTATAATATTCACAAACACATCTCTCATCAAATCATTCCACTCAGCCAACAACCAAGAAATTTGAGAGATATTTACCAAGTGTGAGAGAACCTTACCGAGAGCTAGTTACCCAGCTCTGAAGGACAGAGTCTACCGGGAGAGAGTCTACCAGGGGAAACCCCCCTCTCTCTCGCGCTCTCTCAAAAAACCAGTCTCTTTATGCTCAAAAAACCGGATCGAAACCCCAAAAAACAAACACCTCCTCTATTCCCAACCAACATCTTCTATTGGCTATGGCCTAAGACACACCTTCCCATGTTTGTGTAGAAAACAGGACATGAACAGACATATTCTATGGCTATCATAGCCACCTTTTTGACGCCTCAATGTGTTTCTCCTTCAGTCAGGAGCCCCCCTCCCTGCTGTGAGAGGAGAGGGAGAAAACGGCCTACTCTCTTATCAGAGACACCCATAACTCTTATAGGCCTTACAGTCAACTTAACAAACCACTTGGTTTTGTTTATACTGTAACTATATAAAAACCTAAAATATGAAGCATTTTCATTGTGGGTTATACAAGAATATAATTGATTATATTTGATTATAACTAACTTTCGTTTTAAGTATTAAACATACTATGAAAACTCTCAACAGTGGCCTAGCATTACTATCCTTGTGGGGACCTAAATCTGTTTACACAGTCACGTGTGGGGACTCGCCTCCCTCATGGAGACATAATGGAGGTCCCCATGAGGGGAACCATTAATTTTAGGGTGAAGACTTGGTTAGGGTTAGGGGTTAGGCATGTGTTGGTTATGGTTAAGGTTAGGATAAGTCTCCAGGAAATGCATGTAAGTCAATGTAATGTCCCCTGAAGTGATGTATACATGGTATGTGTGTGTGAGTGTTTGTGTGTGAGTGAGTGAGTGTGTGTGTGTGCGTGTGTTTTTGTGTGTGTGCGTGTGTGAGTGTTTGTGTGTGAATGTGTGTGTGTGTATGCGTGTGTTTGAGTGTGTGTGTGTGTGTGTGTGTGTGAGTGTGAATGTGTGAATGTGTGTGTGTTAGCTTCCCTCGATAAAGAGATGTATAAGTACAGTCCTGTTACCATGTTACAAAGCTCCCTGTGACTTTAAGAAGTCCAGAAGGAGAAATGCAGACCATGAGAAACTCAAGTTATACAAACCTAGAACAAGACAAATAAATAACTTAGAAATCAGTTGTGTGTTTGTACGGAGGAGGAGCCACTAATCTGACCTCTGTGGTTATCTTCCCTCTCAGGGTCCGGGTTGCTGCTCAGATTTTGCCATTTCCTTTCATTACATCCACCCCCCACAGATGTACGTTCTGGAGTATCTGACGCACCATCTGAGGGCCTACGGATACAGATACAGATATCATCCGGACGACAAAACTAAATCCAACACCACAGAACATGTTGAGGTGCAGAGTTCAACGTAACTTGCTTTCATCGTGAGATCTTCCAGTCATTTCTAACTAAGCATCTATTGCACGTCTGTCCGTCCTGGGAGAGGGATCCCTCCTCTGTTGCTCTCCCTGAGGTTTCTCCCATGTTCCTTTAAACTGTGGGTTTTCTCCGGAAGTGTTTCCTTGTACGATGTGAGGGTCTAAGGACAGAGGGTCTAAGGACAGAGGGTCTAAGGACAAAGGGTCTAAGGACAAAGGGTCTAAGGACAGAGGGTCTGAGGACAGAGGGTCTAAGGACAGAGGGTCTAAGGACAGAGCGTGTCGTATTGTCACACTGATATTCTGTACAATCTGTGCTGTTGTATTTGCTGTAAAGTGTCTCTACTGTAGGTTATTTTTTTATTTTATGTTCAGCACTTTGGCTCCACCAAAAATCGTAAAAAAATGTGTTGTATAAATAAAACTTGATTTGATAAAAGGTTGTATTTGAAGGCCTTATTTGAACCCATTGATGCTGTAGAGCAGGGGTGTCCAAACTACGGCCCGGGGGCCAGATGCGGCCCGCAGACCATTTTGAATCGGCCCTCAGAAAATTCAAAAGGTATAATGGAGTATGGTCCACAGATGAAACGTGTGCTTGTTTTATATTGCTTCTTCAATATGTTAAGGTATCACACGTATTCACGTGTTAAAAAGCCCACTTTCCAAATACATTCACTCAATTCCACTTGACATTTTTTTTTTAACAAATCTTAGTTGATGAGAAAAATCCCATTATCTTATTTTCACAACAAGCTTGAAATAGAGCCTTCCTTTTCCTCTTCATCAATCTGAAGCTTCTGTGTTAAGGAATGAGCTGCTAACAGGATGAATGAAACCGTATGGAGAGCTGAGATGAAGCCGGTTTCACTATCAGGCACAAGTTCCCTGCATTTGATTGATTGTGCTAACTTGTAACTGAACTTAAAGGCGATATTAATCACCTCTAGTGAGCGGCCCAGCACTTCGTACATCTTTCTGTATTTGGCCTTCGGACAAATAGCTTTGGACCCCCCTGCTGTAGATGAACGTTAGTCACAATCCATGCTTCATCTGTTTCTGACAGGAGCCTTTGGTTCATCCTTTTTAAAACGACACCATGCCCCTTATTGCAATGTTTTTATGTGTGTGAGAATTGAGACACAGTAGGATTAGCAGGACTGAGACCCATGAGCAAGAGCCAAAAGAGTTGTGTGAATATCATGAAATATGATTCTGTGTTCAAACTGCGTGGTGCTGTTGTAAACTGTGGGGGGTGGGGGGGGGGGGGGGTGGAATTGGGAAAAGAAGACAGAGAGGAAGTAACCACGATAAACAACACGTGTGTATCTGATATCAAACGTCATATCTCTGAGCGTTATAGATTATGCAAATATTAAAGGTTTAAGAAATTATATTTTATTTATTGAATGAAAAGTTGATCTTGTTTTTTTCCATGTTCTACGTTTACTATGCCTTCTGACTCTTTTACAGCATTATTAAAATAACACATTTCTTACAGTGGAGTGTCTCTTCCCACGTTATTAAAATAACACATTTCTTACAGTGGAGTGTCTCTTCCCATACAGCGCTCATAATAATGGAGTTAATATACGATTGTTAAGAGGAACTAGAACAACTACAGATTTAAGTAGTTCCAACATTGTATACGAAGCATATGATAAACAGGTTAAGAATAAAGCATTGTTAAATGATCGATGAACCATCACTTTGAAACCCTGCAGACTGTGACCCACAGAAACATTTCATACCAAGACAAAGCCCAGATCTGAACACGCTACCAACACGTGAAGAGTTGCATACACAGCTGGAGCATCAGTTCACTCACTGTACTCACGGTGCAGATGGCACTGATGCTAAACATCGTAGTATTGTTATGACTCATTCCTGTAATAAGAAATAAACTGAGCGGAAATATGTCCATGTTTCCTGATAGCACTCTTTATGGTTATAGGAAAATATCAATGTTATCAACTCTTCAAAGCATCATAAAGTATTTATCACTCTGCCTAAAAGGACAATTTGCCAACTTTATAATCCCCCAAAGTGTTTTAGTGTCTCCCGGTCTCCAGCTGTGTGCGTCACTCTTTAGTGTCCCCTGGTCTCCAGCTGTGTGCGTCACTCTTTAGTGTCCCCTGGTCTCCAGCTGTGTGTGTCACTCTTTAGTGTCCCCTGGTCTCCCAGCTGTGTGTGTCACTCTTTAGTGTCTCCCGGTCTCCAGCTGTGTGCGTCACTCTTTAGTGTCCCCTGGTCTCCAGCTGTGTGCTTCACTCTTTAGTGTCCCCTGGTCTCCAGCTGTGTGCGTCACTCTTTAGTGTCCCCTGGTCTCCAGCTGTGTGCTTCACTCTTTAGTGTCCCCCGGTCTCCAGCTGTGTGCGTCACTCTTTAGTGTCCCCTGGTCTCCAGCTGTGTGTGTCACTCTTTAGTGTCCCCTGGTCTCCCAGCTATGTGTGTCACTCTTTAGTGTCCCCTGGTCTCCAGCTGTGTGCGTCACTCTTTAGTGTCCCCTGGTCTCCAGCTGTGTGCGTCACTCTTTAGTGTCCCCTAGTCTCCCAGCTGTGTGTGTCACTCTTTAGTGTCCCCTGGTCTCCCAGCTGTGTGCGTCACTCTTTAGTGTCCCCTGGTCTCCCAGCTGTGTGTGTCACTCTTTAGTGTCCCCTGGTCTCCAGCTGTGTGCGTCACTCTTTAGTGTCCCCTGATTTGACTTTGTCATGGGATCAACAAAGGCTTCGTCCTCTAAGCAGGAAAGCAAATACACTTCTTCCCAAAAAGAAATCTCCCAAAGTCCATTCCTGTGTTCTAAGGAAGTGAAATGTGTATCTAACGTTGTGCATGTGTCCGAGGTTTGTGTGCAAAAAGGAGTGTTTACCCAGGAGAAGAACAGGCTTTCCAGATGGCTGAATGAGACATGATGTTATCTGAGCCCGTTGCTCCAGGTGCACCTGAACATCAGAGTAAACACACCTGTCTCTCTGCATCTCATCTGTTTGCAAAGCATATTCAAACACAAGGAATGTTTAGTTTCTCTGTGTGTGTCCCCATGGAAAGCAAATCAAACAAGGACGAGACAGGAAGTCATTAAAGTGGGTCCTGTTGCACAGAACAGATGCTCTCTGGGTAAAGGTTACGGACATAATGCTGAATAAACAATGAAGGGTCATCCTCAACATGTATAATCTGTTATTAGGAATTACATTTAATGCCAGATATAGAAGATATGTTTTAATACAGGTATCAAAACGTGCCAGTATTAACACTGTTGATATATTGTTAATAATACACAAATGATGGTGTGAACACTCTGGATCCTCTTGTTAATAATGAGCTCATTACCTCAGGTTTCTTCACTTTGTATTTTGTCTACATCCCGTTTATCATTACACACAAAGTTAAGGCTGAATTTAAATGATTGCATTTTCTTAAAATATTCTATAAAAATCCCAATAAATGTATTTGCAGGAATTCTTCTGACCTCGTTCATCGTTCAAATCTCATATCCTCATTTTTATTTATTTTTGTTGTGTATATATATATTTTTTAATCCTTTTTTTTCCCTTTCATTTATTTTATTCATTTTTTTTTTTATCCCAGGGTTAATAAAAAGTAGAAAGCGATTACGATGGTCATTTTACTTTTTAAATATGTATTTTAAAACATATTCAAAGATGATGGGTTTACTTGTGTTTCTGAAGAGCAGTGGTTCTCAAACTTTTTCTGTCAGGCCCCCCCTTTGGAGAAAAAAAAAAGTCGGGCCCCCCCAACACAAATAGTCAGGCTCAGTGACGGCGCCAGAGATTTATTTTGGGGGTGCTGTGGGGTAGCTTGACGTTTCATAGAGGGTGCTCAAACATTTAGGGTTTCCCATTAATGTACCGGGCGCTACAGAGGAACTTTCTACTGCAACACTCTCCACGCACACAATGTACCCGCGACTGTTACAACGAAGGCTCGATAATCAGCTCACGGCATATAGGTGTAAGCAGGGGTAAAGTGCTATTTTTATAGGTGGGGAGTGGACCTCACATAGGAGGGTCCGGGGGCTTTTAAATATTGAAGTTAAAAGCATCAATCTGGTGCACTTTGAGAGCAACATGAAGAGATCTATGGATACCTCTCTCAGCACAGAACTGTAAACAGATTTACTTTTTCTTTATGGATATTTTACAAATCACTCCCCTTTTAAACTTTATTCTTGTTTTACTGTCATATAGTATTTCATACCTGTTTTTCATTTATTCTCTTATTTTTTTATAACTATAATGATCATATAAACGTGTGCCTCGGAAATAATTGTTTACATTAATGGTGACCAAAACATTTGAGACCCACTGAGATAACACTGAGAGTCCTTTAGCTCACTGAGTCTCTCAGTCTGACAGGAGAGGACTCTCCTCCACTTTGTTGTTGAAAAAACTCCTTATATCCGTTAGCGTAGCTCGCTAGCACCAGAAGCTAACAACAACGATCTCCGGTACCGGTGCGCTCTCGCTCGCGCACGCACAAAATGGCTCGTTCCACACAAACACACAGAGTCGAGCTTGAATGAAACACAGAGACCCAGACGTAATAGTGCTGTATCATATTATTTTCGAATCAATAATTTTTCTAAATACGATTTTTTTTTTTTTTTTTTAAATAACCATTTTTCCTCCTGGTCTCTCGCGCCCCCCTGTCATGCCTCTGCGCCCCCCACTTTGAGAACCACTGCTGTAGAGTTTGAATTCAGTGTTCATTACTTTAATCACTGGTTGCTGTGAAGAGGGCTCCATGCTGGCAAGTTCTGGGTAATAATTGTCCAAATCCCTGATGATGATTTGTCCCAAAAGAAAGCACTTCAGATCCTAGGAAATATTGGTTATAACCACCAAGGACAAACTCCAGATGTCAGTGTGTTGTTGGTCCAGTGGGTGACACGCTAAACCAACATTTTTGATGCTCTTGTCGGTTTGTATTGAATATATTGTAACATTTAGGTTAAACATCCCAGAACAGATATAAGTAGTCGTGTAAAAATGTGCAGTTTGAGGGACAGTGAGGTCGTCCTTCACCAGCCTGTGATGTGTTTGTCTTTGCACACACTCGTTGTGTATCCCAACACACACTCTTTGTTCATCCCCACACACACTCTGTTACGTGTAGACGCAGGAGAGCCTGCAGCCGGACTCAGACTCAAAGTTGTTTGTGTTTCCCTCGCAGCCTCCGAACCAGAACTGAGCGCAGGCGTTAGCTTCGGGGTCGTAGTACCATCGAACAACGTACTGCCGACAGGACCCGGGGTCCAGAGGGAGAGAGCAGCCCTCTGCGAGACAGGAAACATGCAATACGTGTTATTACATTAAAGGTCTCTATCGCGCTGTTTCCAGGCATTTATTATGGGTCTCAGATATATAGAAATATATAAAAACATGTCTCTGAAGTTGCTCTGTTCCTGCATTTCAGATCGATCTGAAATGTATATTGACTTTCTTCATTTTTAAATATTCCATTCCCCACGTACTTATGTATAAAAGACAGAAAAGAGTGCATGTTGCAGATGATAGGAGACCTCTAAGAACTTCCTCCACATGGCATTAAAGGGTTAGTCCATGTATTGGTCATCTTTGTGTCTTTACGTATTTCTCTCGGTCAAAGCGTCTTTGAGTTTCTAGAAAAGCTTATTGTTATTATTGTTGTTATTATTGTGTGTACCTGTCAGTGATGAGTCTGTCAGAAGAGGACCAGGAGGGCTGATGGGAGTCCTCGTGCTCTCAGGAGGTTTCAGCCAATCGGTCGGGGTCTGAGGACCGACCACTGACCCCAGAACCTTCACCAGCTTGGCATCAATGGGGGTCCCATCAGGCCCGGTGTCCTGGGGAGGGGAGGTCACTGGGAGCTCAAACTGGGGAGGGGAGGTCACTGGGAGCTCAAACTGGGGAGGAGAGGGGCGACGATTAGACACTCTTACATCTCGTCTACAGGCAAGTTTATTTATACAGCACTTTCAACACAAGGTAATTCAAAGTGCTTTACAAACATCAAAGACATTAAGATCATAAAACACATTATAAACATTAAAAAGCAAAGATAATGAAACATGAGTAACAGGTACGTGAATAAAAGTTACAGAGCAGTGTGAGATGAGAAGAGTTCAATTAAAAGCAGCGGCAAACAGAAAGTCTTCAGCCTGGATTTGAAAGCAGTCCGAGTTGCAGCGGACCGGCAGGTTTCTGGGAGTTTGTTCCAGATGTTTGGAAATACCCCTCACCACATTCTCTCATTCCTCTAGCCCTCCTGTGAAATTAGAGTTCTTTAAACACTTTCCCAACCTTTTTATATTCCTTTCATCCTTCTCTTTTAGTCCAGCAGAAATGTGATCTGAATGAATTGTGCTTTTGATGATAACAACATGAACGTTGGCTCACTGTTAGAGCACGCGCCAAGGAAGATTTCTGGCTATAGAGCATCGCATATTTGTCCATTGGTTGTTATTTTACCGGTAGCTTAGGATCTAGACTCTGGTGGCTAATCCTACATTTTCAAGGATGAGGAATGCAGTGGTACTATTTACAACATGCTAGAATGTAGCTAACTCCATGTATCTGGTATTCAGACAACAAAATACACAGTAAAACATTAACATATTTATTATCGTGAAGGAATGCTTGTTATATAATATATATGCAATATTACAGGTTTTCAACTAAATGCAGAGTTAGTTCTGAAAACACAGTCCCGCACAGCAGCAAGGGCAGTGCACTGAATTGCTGCCTTGACACATTTGAAAAGTGTCCACTGCACCCCTTTTTGCATCCAGTAACCTGCGGGTGGGAGTTCAGGGGCTGCAAACATCCTCTGTCCCCAGCAGTGACCAGCTTGGAAGGCAGCTCTCTTTGTGTGCTGCTTGTGTTGGGGGGAGTCCTTCAATTGGTCTACCTTTCTGGGTGAAGAGCTGCCTGATTGGCTGACTCCTGGCTGCTAGTGCGGTCATACAATACCAGAGAGCAGTGTCACACTCACTTCTCTACTTCCCCTCTTCTACGACCAGGCCAAGTCTGTGGCCATGATTCGTCATTCTATGGATGTGGTAAGGCAGGCATTGGAGATTCTGCAGCCCAATTCCTCAACATCACTGCTGTGGGTTGCCTTTGGAGCTGGGAAGAGTTTTCGGCATTTAGCAGCTCATGAGATGGCGAGGTCACTGGGTCCAGATCGATGCATAGCCTTACCAATGTTCCATGCATTTACTGGATGTGACACTGGGTCATCTTTTGATGGCAGGGGCAAGAAGACGGCGTGGGATACATGGATGATGTGGAAGAGGGGTGGAAGCAGGTCCCTCCCTACACACAGATCACACAGACTGGGTGGGGCCTCAACTCGCGGAGGGATCCTCACCTCGCGGAGGGATCCTCACCTCGCGGAGGGGGCCTCACCTCGCGGAGGGATCCTCACCTCGCGGAGGGATCCTCACCTCGCGGAGGGATCCTCACCTCGCGGAGGGGGCCTCACCTCACGGAGGGGGCCTCACCTCACGGAGGGGGCCTCACCTCGCGGAGGGGGCCTCACCTCACGGAGGGGGCCTCACCTCGCGGAGGGGGCCTCACCTCGCGGAGGGATCCTCACCTCGCGGAGGGGGGCCTCACCTCGCGGAGGGGGCCTCACCTCGCGGAGGGGGCCTCACCTCGCGGAGGGGGCCTCACCTCGCGCAAATGCGGTGCACCTTTATGCGCTTATGCGGCGCAATTACTGTAAGCGTGCCACAGTTTCGCCGCTGCGAGGCTCCGGCGTATGCTCCCTGAATACCAGATACATGGAGTTAGCTACATTCTAGCATGTTGTAAATAGTACCACTGCATTCCTCATTCTTGAAAATGTAGGATTAGCCACCAGAATCTAGATCCTAAGCTACCGGTAAAATAACAATCAATGGCGCCATTGGACAAATATGCAAAGGCCCTATAGCCAGAAATCTTCCTCATATCTTCACATATCTGCTGGACTATTTCATCCATTCCCCCCCAGACAACACATGTCCCTGTTTTACTGTCACCTGAACCCACCTTTGACCTTTAAACCACTTCTCTTTTCAATTCCCAGAATAACGATATTTAACCCTGTAATTAAATAGACAGTAAAATAACCAGCTTTACTTGAATGTGTTCCTTAGCGGGGAACTCGTTGTAGCGTCGCTCTTCTGGAGCCTTCGGTTGGATTTCCATCGGTGGAAACACAGAGTTTGGTAGAAATGCCATCGCGTCGTTCTGATCACAAATCAGACTCAGCAGTTTGCTTTCCAGAGCTGTAGCAGAGAAACATCATTAGCAAATAAAACCATTACAGCTAGGGATAGACGACAGGAGAAGACAAACCAAAGTCAATCATTATTCTGTTATTCTCAGGATTTTGACCATTTTCTGAATGTTTACTTTTTCCACAGGGTTAGGGCAAGGGGTTAGGAAAATGGTTGCGCATTTTTTCAGAATATTCTTTCGAAATGTTTTAAATTTTTCCCGAAAAATTCTAAAAAATGTCAGAACATTTCTAAAAACAAATCTTGGGTTTTAACTTTAAGCAGAATTTGACTTTCATTTTTGGAAATGTTACTTATTTTGCACAATTCTTATTTTTTTTGTTGCATTTTTTCATAGTTTTCATAATTTTTATTTGAATACGATTCATGATTCTGAAGATTGTCGTTTATTAGAGATGTTAGCCGTGACATAGAGCACTTACTGTTAAGCGTCCTGAAGTCATCTATCAGGTAAACGTGCTCTTCTTTGGGATCCGAGGCGATCGCATCCATCTGAGCCTGGAATTCTTCTCTCAGAGGGTCCGTATTGTTCCCGACTCCTATCACAAACATCTCGATGCCTTGCTCATGGGCCACCGCTGCTGTTTCTTCAAACTGCATGAGATCTCGGGGGTCTGCCTGTCCGTCCGTCAGCACCACGGCTACCTTCCTGACGCCCGGCCTGGACACCTGGAACAGCTGATTGGCTCGATGGATGGCACTACCTGTGAACGTGCCTTCGCCCAGGTACGGCATATTTCTGACGGCCGCCTTGATCTCATCCTGGCTGGCGATTGGCTGCAAACTGACCACCACCATCTCAACGTGGCTGAACAGAACCACGCCGATCCGACCCGCCTCCTGGCTCACCTTCAGAGCGTAAACACAACCTTTACTCAAGTAGAAGTACAGATACTCGTGCTTAAAAATACTCTGGTAAAAGTAGAAGTACTGACTAAACTACTTTACTCAAGTAAAAGTAAAGAAGTATGGGCTTCGAAATTTACTCAAGTGCAGTAACGAAGTATTTGTACTCCACTACTTCCCACCTCTACTCACCGTCACTCGATCAATAAGAGCGATCACAAAGTCCTTCACCAACTCAAAGTTCTCTGGACCGACGCTCTCTGAGCTGTCGATCACAAACACCAGCTCCAAAGGGCTCTGTCTGCACTTCAGACCACATCCTGGGCAAAAGATACCAGAGGTCATTTTAACATGTTAAAGGAAATCTGCTGGGGTGCATACCAACACAAATCAATGCACAACTCCCATCGTAACTTTCCTTCTGAAATAGACTCAACAAACACAGCTGAGCCCTCGTCTATAATTACATAGAGTCAAATAAATAGCATTACTTGAGAGAACATTTTTAAATGTTAAAGAACACCTGCTGGGGTGCATACCAACACATCAACCATCGCAAACAAAGGTTTTCAACAAGTACTACAGTATCTTTCTAAAGATAAACTATAACATTACATTTAAATCACGAGATGTTTCATGAGATTATTGAACACATGAGCTCCAGACAAAGCAACACAGAAACACGTTTAAAATGTGTGATTTACCACAGATCTCCCTGATGATCAGGATGACCTCTTGTCTCTGTGGAAAGAACAAAGACACACAATAAGGTCTCACATGTTGTTAAGATTTAAAGATCAGTGTATTTTCTCTCAGTCATTTGACTCACGGTCAGACCTGGTTCTCCGCTTGCTCCTGGTTCCCCCTGAAAGAATAAAACCAGATTACGACCAGCATCTGAGTGTTTGGCTAATCTCTACAGAGGGAACATAGTGATGCTGTATAAGGGAATCTCTTGGGTCCATTTGCCGCTGACTGGCATCATCTGACATTCTTTACTAACTAACCATTTAACTATTCTTTCACACACAGTGACGTCACGAGCTACCCACAATGCAACGCGTGCCATATATATATATATATATAAATACGCCATTTTCCTGGAGGTGCTAATATCCTGGAGGTGCTAATATAAACAGCTAGCTAACAGGCAGAGCGCACTAGGTTTTTTTTCTGAATTAACGACCGAAGAAATCGCTGCATGTCTTCGGATTACATCTCTGGACTTGAGGGGTGTGCTCGAGGTCGTTACCAGCGTGAACTAGAGCTGTGTGGGTTGTTACAGACTGCCTGCAGATGTATGGAAAAACGACCCTCGAAAGTGGCCTTCGGTCGATTTTGGCAGCATCTACGTCTATCTTCTGGAAACACCAGGTGAATACCCCACTTGTCACAATAATATTATCATGCCATTGCATATATGTGATATTTTAGAGTTGACTATATTGATTAAGGTAATAGACTGCTTGCACCTCGTGTGAAATGGCGGATACCGGAAGTACGGTGTCGCCCTCGGCCCAAAACCCGTATGTGTGTGTGAAAGAATAAGACTGATCAACTCTAAGCCAGTTTCTACCGGAGGCCAGGGTTAGCATTCTACGAGCTAACAGCGCTAACAGAGACGTTCAGGCACATTTCTTGAATCAAGTGTCTCAGAGTTGTTCATAGACGTCGCACTCCAAATCTAAAGTTCTTAAATATTGCAGCATTTCAGGAACAGGACAGATGTTCTTTGAACCCGTTGATCTTAATGACGATAGATTGGAGTTTGAATCTGATCTCTTTTCTCAACATTAGAATTGAAACCAACAATGTTATCAAACACTTCTTTTATAGTTCATATTTCACATGAAATAAAGAGGCAGCAGCAACAAAGAGAAAAGGAAGCTTTGCTCCCTAAACGTATTCCAGCTGAAAAACTAAACCCTTCAAAGACAGCGTTAATCAGCTCAGACTCTTTAAGCCCTTTTCTGTTTCATAACCAAGGAAGTATTTCTCGTGTTACCGTGAGTCCGCTGGCTCCTGGTTCTCCGAGGTCTCCTCTGTCTCCTTTCCTTCCCAGGTCTCCAGGAACGCCTCTGTTACCCTGTGGAGAAAACGCTCTTTACGACAGAACATTTGGTAATAACTGTATTTGTTTTATTCTACCTTTATTTAACCGGGAGAGATCTCATTGAGAAAAAGATCTATCTGTTTCAAGAGAGTCCTCGTCCAAGAATGGAGACAGCAGCGCAGTTACAGACGATCACAACACAGAGAGGCTCTTTCCACAGAGGGGACACATGTTGATGTAGAAGAGACATGAAGAAGAGGGGACACATGTTGATGTAGAAGAGACATGAAGAAGAGGGGACACATGTTGATGTAGAAGAGACATGAAGAAGAGGGGACACATGTTGATGTAGAAGAGACATGAAGAAGAGGGGACACATGTTGATGTAGAAGAAGACATGAAGAAGAGGGGACACATGTTGATGTAGAAGAGACATGAAGAAGAGAGGACACATGTTGATGTAGAAGAGACATGAAGAAGAGGGGACACATGTTGATGGTAGAAGAGACATGAAGAAGAGGGGACACATGTTGATGTAGAAGAGACATGAAGAAGAAGGGGACACATGTTGATGTAGAAGAGACATGAGAAGAGGGGACACATGTTTGATGTAGAAGAGACATGAAGAAGAGGGGTACACATGTTGATTAGAAGAGACATGAAGAAGAGGGGACACATGTTTGATGAGAAGAGACATGAAGAAGAGGGACACATGTTGATGTAGAAGAGACATGGAAGAAGAGGGGACACATGTTGATGTAGAAGAGACATGAAGAAGAGGGGACACATGTTGATGTAGAAGAGACATGAAGAAGAGGGGACACATGTTGATGTAGAAGAGACATGAAGAAGAGGGGACACATGTTGATGTAGAAGAGACATGAAGAAGAGGGGACACATGTTGATGTAGAGAGACATGAAGAAGAGGGGACACATGTTGATGTAGAGAGACATGAAGAAGAGGGGACACATGTTGATGTAGAAAGACATGAAGAAGAGGGGACACATGTTGATGTAGAAGAGACATGAAGAAGAGGGGACACATGTTGATGTAGAGAGACATGGAGAAGAGGGGACACATGTTGATGTAGAAGAGACATGGAGAAGAGGGGACACATGTTGATGTAGAAGAGACATGGAAGAAGAGAGGGACACATGTTGATGTAGAAGAGACATGGAGAAGAGGGGACACATGTTGATGTAGAAGAGACATGAAGAAGAGGGGACACATGTTGATGTAGAAGAGACATGAAGAAGAGGATTCTACAGAACAGGAGACCTGTAAAGAAAGCAGCTCTCTGAGTCTCAGCTCTCTGAGTCTCAGCTCTCTGAGTCTCAGCTCTCTGAGTCTCAGCTCTCTGAGTCTCAGCTCTCTTTGCAGCATGCTTCAAAGCCTCAGGAGCAGAGAAACTAAACTCCAGTTCACTTCCAGAGGCAAAGTGTGGTTCTGTGTAAATGTGAGTACCTTCTCCCCTGGTGCTCCATCCCCTGGAAGCCCCCGAGGACCCATCGGCCCCTTGAAGCCAGGCTCTCCCTACGAACAAGAAAAGGTCAATTGGTAAACAACACGAGGGCATCATCGGCATGCGGGACATCCTGAAGTCCTGTCCATGGAGAGGACACTACGGATGGGTTTGAGGCAACAGCAAAGGCTAACGACATAAAAGGAGACAGTGGTCTATTGTAGTACATTTATCATTAAGTCTCCTTTAAGTATGCTTCCTTCTCTGGTTTGATTTTCCTGCAGTTTGAATCTATCATCTTCACTTCCTTAGAACAGACAGAAGGCTCTTCGACCATTGTTAGGACTGATATTAGGTTTGTAATGACCAAGTATGCAAGTTTCCACCGTCTGGCCAACACTTCCTGTAAATTGCTGAGACCTTCCCTTCCCTTGCTCTTGAGCAGGGATGGGCAAATAGCAGCCCGGCGGCCGCATGCGGGAGGGAGGGGGAGCGGCGCTGAGGAACAGCAGAGTGCGGGCTGACAGGTGTCCGTGTGGACACTCCTCTTATTGTGCGCCAGCAGAGACAGGCAGTGTCTTAGGTTCCAGTTAGTGTTCATGACTTCATGTTTATGTCATCTAATGGTTCATCTCAATGCACACACATTTCCCGTGATTTCCAATAGTTTAAAAATAGTTTCTGTTCAATACGAACATGCCACTTGTAAACATTAAATAACGTTTCTGTGAAGTGATATTTGTTTGGAGAGGATGCTCCTGAGAGATTGTAACATGTCAATGAAGATGTCAGACTTAGCATATTTGTTAATAATTACATACAATGTGTGTGTGTGTGTGTGTGTGTGTGTGTGTGTGTGTGTGTGTGTGTGTGTGTGTGTGCGTGTGTGTGTGTGTGCGTGTGTGTGTGTGTGGCCTAGCATTACTATACTTGTGGGGACCTAATTCTGTTTACATAGTCACGTGTGGGGACTCGCCTCCCTTATGGGGACAAATTGGAGGTCCCCATAAGGGGGATCATTAATTTTAGGGTGAAGACTTTGGGTTAGGGTTAAGGGTAAGGGTTAGGTTAAGGGTAAGGTTAAGGGTAAGGGTTAGGTTAAGGGTTAGGGTTAGGCATGTGTTGGTTATGGTTAAGGTTAGGATAAGTCTCCAGGAAATGCATGTAAGTCAATGTAATGTCCCCTGAAGTGATGTATACATGGTGTGTGTGTGTGTGTGTGTGTGTGTGTGTGTGTGTGTGTGTGTGTGTGTGTGTGTGTGTGTGTGTGTGTGTGTGTGTGTGTGTTCCAAGTGAATCTGTGGCCCCCTGGTGGCCAGTGATGTGGCCCACACCACCATCCAAGTTGCCCACCCTGCTCTTGAGTGCTTGTATTTTCTGTTGGTCAGATCTAGTAATAATGAGCTCGTGCTAGATTCTGTCCTTTCAGCTGAAAGAGATGAACTCTGTGAAATGCTTTGACTTTATTAAATAACAACACTTTGCTTTAAACTTCTATTATTTGTTCATTTTTTACCAAACAGGATGTTTTTGTGTGGAATTTCCTCCACGCGGTCATCCATAACATTTTAATGTCACGGATCAGAGAGTATTATTATTATTGATTACTGTATGATGCTGGTCATCAAGGATGCGTATCGAACCACTGCTTGGCGACCAACATAATGATTACTCGTCGAGGGTTTTGATTAGAATGTGTTGTGGTTGTGGCTCCGCAGATTAAATGGTTTTCCACCAATCACAGGGTCGACATGTCAATCAGTCCATGGGCAAACACCTACATTTGAGGGACGCTGTGGCGCAGTGGGTAGTGCGTTGGTGTACGGATCAGGGGAGCACAGGTTCAAACCCCACTGCAGTCAGCATGTCGTTGTGTCCCTGAGACTCAAAAGTGCTCCTGTGGGGATTGTCCACAGTATTGAGTATGTAAGTCGCTTTGGATAAAAGCGTCTAACAAGTGAAATGTGATGTAATGAGTGTGAAGGATTATCCCTCCTGACGACCAGGCGGCCCCTCAATGGGCTCTGCCGTTATGAGGATGTTTTGAACGCTGGACTCGTGTAAAAGCAGTTTTTAGAACTCAAACAGTCTCAAAATGTTCTGCATCACATGCATGTCCTACCTTTGGCCCCTGGATGCCCTCTCCTGGAGGCCCCATCAGGCCTGAAGGACCACTCTGCCCCGTAGAGCCCTGAGGATACAACACATCACGGTACTTTAAATAAACAAGGCTTCATAAACTCATTATGAAATAGAGAGGGTTTTGAAACACACACTGACCTTGGGTCCATACAGTCCAATCCCAGGAGGGCCTGATGGTCCTGGTACCCCCGACAAACCTCTGTCGCCCTGAAGAACAGACACAAATACACCAATATCATCTATTATACAAGTCTCTGTTTTAGTCTACCTGTTTATCTTCTACACATTTGAGTTTATTCTATCAACAGTCTTTGGTGCAATCGATCCACATGACGTGCTCTACATTCTGCAGCCATGTCCACATTTATGAAGAGGTGCTATGTTCGAAGAATCAAAATAACTTTATTCGTATTGAAACACTATTCAATAAAGGGCATGCACATACTATTACATGGAGTTATTCCAATTTACAAGAAATATGTTGAAGCCGTCTCTAATCGGTGAATCATCTTCAGGTTTACGTTACGCTTTGTCTTTTGGAGAAATGTTTTCAAATTGCTTGCAACAAAACACATTTTTTAAATATGGTATGTTACATGGCACTACATTTCCCATGAGCCTTAGCGAATCAGAAAAAGCTACATAACACAAGGGGACGGGTAATAACCAGACAAGCATGACATGGGACCTTTAAGGACAGGTGAAAATGTTGAATCTGTTCACATAGCCCTGAAATATATATATATTTTTAAACAATGTTCTCACTACGGTAACGGTGAATGGAACTACATTTCCCATGAACCTTTGCACACGTCCGCTCACTTCATGCATTGTGTGGCCTCACCTTAGCTCCAGGTAGGCCTTTACCTTCTGGTCCCATCTCTCCTGGAAGTCCCGGTAATCCAGGCCGACCCTAAGGATCACAGAGAACATGTTCACTTTCAAACCTCTGCTTTAAATATGAGGATAACTAAAGTGTGACGAGTGTTTCCTCTCGCCTGAGGTCCTGGGGAACTTTCTCCCTTCAGCCCTGGAGGTCCAACAGGTCCATTGTTCCCTTTGTGGCCCTGCAGGAGGACAGCAAGTGAGACATTGCTGATGTGTCTGCATATTAGCAAACATCAATACTGACCTACAGGTGCACACATTCAGATTTATGGAGTTCATTTAAAAAAACCTGTAATTCAAAATATTATGATCTGATTTCAAGTAACCAAAAGGACAAATGTCTTACTTGTATTTATTAGTTAAACATTTAAACCTATTCTCCTTAATGTAACTTTCTCCATACAGTTTGTCCTCTGTTGTTAAAACTTGATATTTGCTTTGAGAAAAATAATCTAAAAATATGTGACCGGATCAGTTTGTATAACTCTGCTGCTCCATGCATTTCATACAGGAAGCATATATATATATATATATATGAATCAATATAGTGATTATATTCTGTGTTCACGTTACCTTCGGCCCAATGATTCCCAGACCGTGTTCTCCCACAGCTCCTGAAGGTCCCACAGGCCCCAGATCCCCCTGTTAGAGAACCATTAACTCTCATTAAAACTGCTGTTAGATATGTATACTCTCAGAGGAGGGAGAACTACTCACATCCTGTACTTGAGTTAAGGTAGAAGTACTCAGATCTTGTTCTTGAGTAAAAGTAGAAGTACTCAGATCCTGTAGTAAAAGTAGAAGTACTCAGATCTTGTGCTTGAGTAAAAGTAGAAGTACTCAGATCTTGTACTTGAGTTAAGGGAGAAGTACTCATATCTTGTACATGAGTAAAAGTAAAAGTACTCAGATCTTGCACTTGAGTAAAAGTAGAAGTACTCAGATCGTGTACTTGAGTAAAAGTAAAAGTACTCAGATCTTGTACTTGAGTAAAAGTAGAAGTACTCAGATCTTGTAGTAAAAGTAGAAGTACTCAGATCTTGTACTTGAGTAAAAGTAGAAGTACCAGAGTGTAGGAATACTCTGTTACAGTAAAAGCATTCAAAATGTTCCTCAAGAGAAAGTAGAAAAGTATTCTCATCAAAATATAGTGAAAGACAGTAAAAGTAGTCGTTGTGCAGATTGGTCCATTTCAGAATAATATATATGATATGTTTTATAATGATTGATCATGAAAGTGTTCTCAAAGCTGGTGAAGGTGCAGCTAGTTTGAATGACTTTGTATACTGCAGGGTAGCTGGTGGATTTACTCCAGGTGGAACTAAAGTCTGATTCAACACTTGGTTATATTTCACATCATTCATCCACATCTGTGAAGTAACTAAAGGTATTAAATACATGTAGTGGAGGAAAAGTACACCATGTACCTCTGAACTGTAGTGGAGTAGAAGTACACAGTAACATTACATTAAAATTAAGATTAATTAATTACACAAAAATTAACGCGTTAAAAAAATTAACGCATTTTAATCGCACTTATTTTTGCACCGCGGAACGTTTCTCACTGGATGAGTTTCAGGCGTACCGATTATACTGGAGCACCAACTAACGTTCATGACTTCAGACAACAACAAACCACAGTGAACAACAGTGGGAAATGTTGTTTTAAAAAACGGACGGATGGAAGCGTCGATAAGAGCACGGTTGTGTGCAAATTATGCAAAAAGGAATTCGCATATCACCGCAGCACATCAAGCCTCAAGTATCACCTCAATGCAAAACATATAGCAGCTAGCGTGGAAGCTAGCGTGGACGTTAGCCTCTTTTATCGCGTTCACACACCAAAAAGAGCCAGTACTAAAATTAGTTCATGAGAACCTTTTTACCCCCACGAAAGTCCCTGCTTGAGAGCAGAGAGCTGCTAGAGAGCAGGGACTTTCGTGCGGCTCTCTTGTGAGAAAAGAGCTATATGTCTGATTGGCTGGGCGGATTGCAAACCACGCCCCGTAAAACTCCCAAAAAGTTTTGTGAAGCCGCCATTTTATTATCCTCGCATTAGCATTATTAGCATTAGCAGCATTAGCATTAGCCCAGCGCAGAAACGCAGAGAGACTAATTTATGGCAACACAAAATAAAACATGGGAGCGGTGGAGATGAGGAGGTGTCGGCGTTCTGGCGATTTACTCGGAATGCTTCAGTAGAAGCTGCTGGGACTCCCAGCAGCTTCTACGAACTAAAGTTAGTTCATGCGAACTAAAGAGTTCACATGAACTAAGTTCACATGAACCTTTGTGGGAAAAGTACTGCGGTGTGAATGCGCCTAATGGTATACTAAAATCCATGTGAAAAAAATTGCTTCTCACTGTTCTTAGGTCAAATATTTATATGCGATTAAAAATGCGATTAATTTCGATTAATTAATTACAAAGCCTCTAATTAATTAGATTCATTTTTTTAATCGAGTCCCGGCCCTAATTAAAATACAAGATTGTACTTAAGCATAGTAGGCTACTTGAGTAAATGTACTTAGGTACTTCCCACCTCTGCCTTTCTCTCAGCCTGAATACTGATATTTCTCAACATGACGGGAACATCATTTACATTTCCTCTGAAGCACGTCAGTAGAATTCCTAATAATCCTGTTCTGCGGTGAGCACTGTGTGCACGAGGTCAGCTTCACACAGGTGTGTCGTTTCCAAAGAATTCAGTGGAACTGGTTTTGCTTCTGAATGCTATCTGATCCCTTCATTCAGGGCACACCTGAATAACTCCTCACTGTAAACCATGCACTGAAGAACAAACAGGAAGTGGGTGTCACCGCTTTTTTCCAGGACGTCAGTCTGGGTTCATGTGTTTGTGTGTGAATGAAGATTAATTAAAAGATAAGCCAAACAAAGAGAGAGAGAGAGAGTGTGTGTGTGTGTGTGTGTGTGTGTGTGGTGTGTGTGTGTGTGTGTGTGTGTGTGTGTGTGTGTGTGTGTGTGTGTGTGTGTGTGTGTGTGTGTGTGTGTGTGTGTGTGTGTGTGTGTGTGTGTGTGTGTGTGTGTGTGTGTGTGTGTGTGTGTGTGTGTGTGTGTGTGTGTGGTGTGTTTGTATCACCTTAGGTCCAGGGAAGCCTCTGCCGGCTTGTCCTTGTAATCCCATTTGTCCTGGACTCCCCGGCTCCCCCTGAACAACAGATTCAACAAACAGTGAGTAAAAAAGGATGAATGCAACCATGTGTTTCCTCCCCTGAAGCGTGTTCTCTAGGTTTCAGTGCATGTAAATGGTCTGCAAAGGCCAACATCTATGTGTCCCCTCCCCTGTAGTGTGTTCTCTAGGTTTCAGTGCATGTAAATGGTCTGCAAAGGCCAACATCTATGTGTCCCCTCCCCTGTAGTGTGTTCTCTAGGTTTCAGTGCATGTAAATGGTCTGCAAAGGCCAACATCTATGTGTCCCCTCCCCTGTAGTGTGTTCTCTAGGTTTCAGTGCATGTAAATGGTCTGCAAAGGCCAACATCTATGTGTCCCCTCCCCTGTAGTGTGTTCTCTAGGTTTCAGTGCATGTAAATGGTCTGCAAAGGCCAACATCTATGTGTCCCCTCCCCTGTAGTGTGTTCTCTAGGTTTCAGTGCATGTAAATGGTCTGCAAAGGCCAACATCTATGTGTCCCCTCCCCTGTAGTGTGTTCTCTAGGTTTCAGTGCATGTAAATGGTCTGCAAAGGCCAACATCTATGTGTCCCCTCCCCTGTAGTGTGTTCTCTAGGTTTCAGTGCATGTAAATGGTCTGCAAAGGCCAACATCTATGTGTCCCCTCCCCTGTAGTGTGTTCTCTAGGTTTCAGTGCATGTAAATGGTATGCAAAGGCCAACATCTATGTGTCCCCTCCCCTGTAGTGTGTTCTCTAGGTTTCAGTGCATGTAAATGGTCTGCAAAGGTCAAAATCCACAGAACACACTTTGGACATGGTGACATCACTATGGAACACTCCCTAAGGGCTCCTATTGGCTAGTGCTCCAACACATTGTACGTGCTAGGCTAAGGGGCGGGACATCTCTCAGCAGTTGACCAATCACAGCTAACGTTACAAACAAATTACAAAATTGGGCTAAATTAAGTAATTATTCTGCTGTTTAACGTGCCTTTGCTCCTGAAGGTCCAACGGGTCCGGGGGAACCTGAGAGGCCCCGAGACCCTCGGTCCCCTCTGTCTCCCTGTGGAAAACACAAAATACATATATATAAATATATATAAGCGTCTTACAATAAGTGCAATCAACCACAAAGAAACTACTGCAAGAATCCTGCACGAACATGAGCTTCAAATAACTAACCATAACCCGTAACCATAACCCGTAACCATAACCCGTAACCACAGTCTGTGGAATTCAGAAAGGATATTTGCTCTAACAGGTAAATTCAAACGTTTAACAAAAAAAGGTATTCATTATTTTTATGATTTTCTTACATTTTTAGATAATAGAAAATATAAAACTCTCTGTCAATGTTGTTCTGCTAAATTGTAAAGCACTTTGGAATTGTATTTGTGCATGCAAGGTGCTATGTAAACTAAGTTCATTCATAATCCGTCACTTTGCATGAAAACAAGTCAATAATTGACCTTTTTTCATCGTCACACATGAATTATCTCAGTTTTAACCCCAAGCAAGGTCAAAAAACCAACATCCCAGAGTGTGTGAGGATAATACTTGTGTTTGACCTTTTCTCCGTGGATTCCTTTCCCCACCGCCCCCTCCAGTCCTCTCACACCTGGCCACCCCGTCTCTCCCTGCAAACAAAAACAAACACATTTTAAATCAGAAGCTCATCGACTGGTTTTGAGTTTACACGGAGCAGGAACCAGCAGGAAAAACGTGAGGACACTTCCTGTTGAGACTTTAATCCCCAGGCTTTCATTTCTGGCTTTATGTTCAAAGTCTTGGCTCTGATTGGTTTTGTGTGTGTGTGTGTGTGTGTGTGTGTGTGTGTGTGTGTGTGTGTGTGTGTGTGTGTGTGTGTGTGTGTGTGTGTGTGTGTGTGTGTGTGTGTGTGTGTGTGCGCATGTGTGTGTGCGTGTGTGTGTGCATGTGCGCATGTGTGTGGCCTAGCATTACTATCCTTGTGGGGACCTAAATCTGTTTACACAGTCACGTGTGGAGACTCGCCTCCCTTATGGGGACAAAATGGTGGTCCCCATGTCCCATCATTAATTTTAGGGTGAAGATTTGGTTAGGATTAGGATTAGGGTTAGGGTTAGGCATGTGTTGGTTATGGTTAAGGTTAGGATAAGTCTCCAGGAAATGCATGTAAGTCAATGTAATGTCCCCTGAAGTGATGTATACATGGTGTGTGTGTGTATGTGTGTGTGTGTGTGTGTGTGTGTGTGTGTGTGTGTGTGTGTGTGTGTGTGTGTGTGTGTGTGTGTGTGTGTGTGTGTGTGTGTGTGTGTGTGTGTGTGTGTGTGTGTGTGTGTGTGTGTGTGTGTGTTACCTTTTACAAACTCTTAAATCTCCCTTATTTAAACAGTTGACCTCTGACCCACCTTAGACCCCACAGCTCCGTCCTCTCCAGGAATACCGGGAATCCCTGCAGTCCCACCAGGACCTGGATCCCCCTGAGGAACACAGATACACTCAAAGCCCACTGAGCATCATATTAAACATGTGTTTATTAAAGGAGGTTCGTCTTACCTTCGTTCCTGGTTCTCCTAAGCCCCGCCCCCCCTGAGATCCAGGCTCTCCAGGGAAGCCCTGCTCACCCTGTGGAGATTTTTATTTAATGTATCTCTCATTTCTTTAAATAATATATACACCATAATCCTCTGTTACTGACCTTTGGACCAACGATCCCCAGTCCAGGAGGCCCTCGGGGGCCCGAAGGTCCCGATGGCCCAAAGTCCCCCTGAAACCAGACACAAAACTGACATTTAAATGTTTTTTACGCAAATAAATAATAATTAGTGGTAAAAATCTGTTAAATTATGACATACAACGTAAAAGAATAACATATACATATATATATATATATATATATATATATATATATTGTAGTAATAATAATATAATCTATTTATAATTGTAAATGTATATTGTATGTAGACATACTTTTTTTTTTTAAAGAAGCTGTGGGATTAGATCAGTGTAAACTTCTCCCCTTTTCGGATGTGTAATCTAATCAGTTAAATCATTTGTTTATATATAATTTGTAAGTCAATAATATTTGTATTTATTAATTTGATACTGATTACGTTTGTAAAGTATCATTGCTCTTGCCTTTTCTCCTTGAATGCCGGCCCCTGGAAACCCGACCATGCCGGGGGCCCCGGGGGCTCCTGAGTGTCCCTGAGGGTGAGACAGGTGACAGGTGAGACAGGTGACAGGTGAGACAGGTGACAGATGAGACAGGTGACAGGTGAGACAGGTGACAGGTGACAGGTGAGACAGGTGACAGGTGAGACAGGTGACAGGTGAGACAGGTGAGACAGGTGACAGGTGAGACAGGTGACAGGTGACAGGTGAGACAGGTGACAGGTGAGACAGGTGACAGGTGAGACAGGTGACAGATGAGACAGGTGAGAGGTGAGACAGGTGACAGGTGAGACAGGTGACAGGTGAGACAGGTGACAGGTGAGACAGGTGAGACTGGTGAGAGGTGAGACAGGGGACAGGTGAGACAGGGGACAGGTGAGACAGGTGAGACAGGGGATAGGTGAGAGGTGTGACAGGAGACAGGTGAGACAGGGGACAGGTGAGACAGGGGACAGGTGAGACAGGTGAGACAGGTGAGACAGGGGATAGGTGAGAGGTGTGACAGGAGACAGGTGAGACAGGGGACAGGTGAGACAGGTGAGACAGGTGTGACAGGTGAGACAGGTGAGACAGGTGACAGGTGAGACAGGGGACAGGTGAGACAGGGGACAGGTGAGACAGGTGAGACAGGTGAGAGGTGAGACAGGGGACAGGTGAGACAGGGGACAGGTGAGACAGGGGATAGGTGAGAGGTGAGACAGGTGACAGGTGAGACAGGGGACAGGTTAGACAGGTGAGACAGGTGACAGGTGAGACAGGTGAGACAGGGGACAGATGAGACAGGTGAGAGGTGAGACAGGTGAGACAGGTGACAGGTGAGACAGGTGACAGGTGAGACAGGGGACAGGTGAGACAGGTGAGAGGTGAGACAGGGGACAGGTGAGACAGGAGACAGGTGACAGGTGAGAGGTGTGACAGGAGACAGGTGAGACAGGTGAGACAGGGACAGGTGAGACAGGGGACAGGTGGACAGGGGATGAGACAGGGGAGACAGGGGACAGGTGAGACAGGGGACAGGTGAGACAGGTGAGACAGGGGACAGGTGAGACAGGTGAGACAGGGGGACAGGTGAGACAGGGGATAGGTGAGAGGTGAGACAGGTGGACAGGTGGGACAGGTTAGACAGGTGAGACAGGTGACAGGGGTGACAGGTGAGACAGGTGAGACAGGGGACAGATGAGACAGGTGAGACAGGGGACAGGTGAGAGGAGAGGTGAGACAGGGGAGACAGGCGGTGAGGACAACAGGTGAGACAGGTGGAGAGGTGGAGAGGTGAGACAGGTGGAGAGGTGAGACAGGTGAGAGGTGAGACAGGTGAGACAGGTGACAGGTGAGACAGGGGACAGGTGAGACAGGTGAGAGGTGAGACAGGGGACAGGTGAGACAGGTGACAGGTGAGACAGGTGACACAGGGGACAGGTGAGAGGTGAGACAGTTGACAGGTGAGACAGGTGACAGGTGAGACAGGTGAGACAGGGGACAGGTGAGACAGGGGACAGGTGAGACAGGTGACAGGTGACAGGTGAGACAGGTGACACAGGGGACAGTTGACAGGTGAGACAGGTGACAGGTGAGAGGTGAGACAGGGGACAGGTGAGACAGGTGACAGGTGAGACAGGTGACAGGTGAGACAGGTATCATGGGTTTTATCTGGGTATGAGATTAACAGCCAAACTCACCTTATCCCCTTGGGACCCTAACCCCGGGAGGCCTCGGCTGCCTTTCAGACCCTCGTACCCCCGGGCCCCCTGAAAAAAAGAATAACATCTCACAGCATTTTTTAAATCCTAAAATCACGTATTTATTACGTGAAAAAGACACATTTTCTTTTCAAAATGCTTTTGCACCGATATATTCCTGCTCTACAACTGATCTGCATATTGAAGTATGAAGGCTTGATGTTTACATGTTGTCTTCTCCTGAATGTTTCTTATATGTTTGATGGCACCTTAAAAAAAGAGTAGCTCTACTCATCTCATTGTATACCATAATGACAATAAAGGATTATATTCTAAATAAAAAATGGAATACCACATCAGTTTCTTTTATTACTTAAATACAGTAAATGTACTTAGTCCCATTTACTGCCAGTTAAGTCTTATATATATATATATACTTTTTTCAGGACGTACAGGAAAATAAATCAGGTTCTGGAGAATGTGAGGAACGCTGCAATACTCCAAAGTCCCTCTAGGGGTCCATGTACCCACTGTTTTAGAAACACTGGTTTATTGAGTCTTTCCCCCTCTTTGTTTTTATCACACATCTCATAGTTCATCCTTCACTCTGAAGACCGTCCTGAATACAGAGCACATGAAACGATGTATGATCTGTTAGAGAACTCTCCCTCGTCCCCGGCTCGAGCTTCAGCCTCAGGATCCATGTGTCTTGTTTTGACTACTTCCATTCTCTCCAGAATGGAAGTAGTCAAAACAAAAAAAGAGAATTCTTTGGTATTCTTCTAAAAATCTAAAAATTCTGACTTTTTCTCAAAATGTTGACTTTTTCTCAAAAATCTCAAAATGTTGACTTTTTCTCAAAAATCTCAAAATGTTGACTTTTTCTCAAAAATCTCAAAATGTTGACTTTTTCTCAAAAATATCAAAATGTTGACTTTTTCTCAAAAATATCAAAATTGATGCTCTTCTAGGTAATCACACATCCTGTCATGTTCACAGCTACAGTTGGGATACCTCTGTTAGCATGCTACTCTCAGTGTTCTCCCAACGTGATGTAACGATAATGTGCTTCAGTTGAACCAGTTTCTCACCGTGGATCCTGGAAGTCCCTCACCTGGAACTCCTGCAGACCCCTGCATGCCTGGAGGCCCCGATGGACCCTGAAGCAACAACAACAGGACATCAAAAAAACAGATATTACATTAAATATTTAAGAAAATAAAAAAATCTGACCTTTTTTCTGACATTGTTTTTTAAAAGTAGAAAAATGTTCAGAAAAAATGACAAATTGTGTGTGTGTGTGTGTGTGTGTGTGTGTGTGTGTGTGTCTGTGTGTGTGTGTGTCTGTGTGTCTTTGTGTGTGTGTGTGTGTGTG